AGTGTTCAAGCAGCCAGAAATCAGCCCTAGAAATCCCTGCCTGTCATGCAGGGTAGCTCTGTGGTAGGTAAGACTAGAAGGTCACCATGGCAGCTCCTGCTGGTTTCCAAAATAAGCAGTCAACATCAATTTTCCAGTTCCCTTTGGGGGAGATAAGAGGATGAGTGGGGGAGGGGTGGGTGGGAGAAGGATGCAGGGGAATGGGTGAGTGGGGGAGAAAGAGAGGGCAAGGCACCAATCTCTTTCATGCACATTCATTTTAAAAAGCAGTAATCAAACACCAATTCTTGGAATCAATGCAGCTTTAAGAACTGTCATCCTAGGGACTCCTAAGAAAAATACCAGGGTTTGGATCTTCTGAGATAGTCATTTGGTATATTATTTTAAATAGCTTAACGTGGTGATGAATAAATGACATTCAACATTCATTTTGCCAGAAACGATGTCAATAAGTTAATGAAAGTTCAGTGAGTCAGATGGTGCTAATATATGCATGATATACTCAGTCTATGAAGCAGGAAACTTACGGAGAGCTAATAATTCACAGAATCTGAAATGGACGAAAGGTTGGATTACATTTAAAAAAATGTAAATGTCTTTTCTGTCCAGTACAAACAAGTTTAAAGAAAGGAACATTTTATATTTGACTTTATGTAAGAAAATTAGTTTCAAAAAAAGCAAAAGGCAAAACAAAATCCAACACTCAGGGTTTGCCCTAGCCCTCTGACTATGCTGGGAAATCAGTGCATTGCTCTTGGTCTTAACCAAGGTGGTTTCACAGAATTCCAAAATTCATGTAAAAATACTATCAGCATCGCTCAAACATGATTTGGTTTCTTGAAGCTGTTTAGTCAAACATAATTGAAGATTCTTCACTAGTGTTAATTACTTCAAGAATTAGGAATCTTTTCAACAAATAGGGGCTTGAAGTGTTGATCACAGACTCAGGTCTTAAAAAATTTAAAATATTTCCAGGTCGGGTTAAGAGTTCTTTAGACAATAAAGTTAAAATTCACTGAAAGAGACTAGCGAGCACAGATAACAATTCATGTCCAGTGGCCAAAATTCTTTTAAAGCTACAAGCTTAGCCTACACTTCCTTCTTCTATTATTTGACTTACTTTCCAGTGGAGCTGTGAACTAGAATTAAAAGGAAAGTTTCCTGAAGTTCTTCAAACTATCCTTATAGATGAAAAACCCTCTACCCAGTTCAGTGACATTCTAAGTTCCATGACGACTGTGACAATTATTGCCCATATCTGAAGAGTGACGAGTGTGGCAAAGGACCATGGGTTTCACAACGCAATGAGAGCTTGCTTGGGCTTGTAGGCCACACAATTTAGAAAACACCAATGAGTGCACTCCAAACGTCCTGTACTTCTTTTTCTTTACAACAGCAATAAGGGTCACTTTAGCCTGTATTGGCTTTGCGCTGAAACCTCTTTTCTCTAATGAGGCTAAAGATGTATTTGGCACAGGCAATGTGCTCCAGGAATAAAGGAAGAAAATCAGAAGTTAAATCTGGAGTCTAAATTATTATACCCAAGACACATGTCAACAGCCTCTTGTGTGTGTGTGTGTGTGTGTGTGTGTGTGTGTGTGTGTGTGTGTGTGTGTGTGCAGCACTGCCTGCTTAGGATAGAAAGCAGAAACTAAACCTGGGATCAATCAGAAAGGCTAGCCTGACTCATCATCTCAACTAATCCAAAACCTGAGAGTCCTTCACAAAGGAACTTTACTTCAATTGGATACTAACGATGTAATTCTGCCTTGCTGAAGATAACACAGTCCCCGAGCAGCGATAGGCAGAAAGGTCAGTGCTTCCTGCATGTTTTTTTTTTTTTAACATAAGGAGTTGTAGAGGGTGCATGCCTGTCTCGCTTCTCACGATTATATGGATTAACACAAAACATGAGAGAAGCCATATTTAATTCATAAGTGAGAGAATGGCTTTCTCCATTGTTTGCCAAATGAACAAACAAAACCAACACAACACAAATAGAAGGCCAAAGGAGTAAGGAAGGTCCAGCAAAGCTCAGGAGATACATGAGCATGGTAGAGAGGAACATCAGGTGTCACTTGACCTGAGCTGTTGATTTGTTTATTTATGCCAACAATTTGACTCCTTGGTTAGTGAGAACATTCTGGGGGCTTCACGAGAACACCACACTCCCGTATATTAAGTTTCTAAGCTGTACTCTGAGCCTACTTTGATATTACTATAAATTTTGCTTCCAGTGTTTAGAAGCTGCCAAACAGAAAATATCACATGACAAAGTGTATACATTTTCACTGACTGTGATTTTGTAAAATGCATCCTCTTTGGGGAAAAGAAAGCTGTAACACACACACACACATACACGCACACACCTACCTCTCAAGTGGATATTTGCATATTTTACTATCAGTTAACATTTATTGACAACCTGTGATTGCTTTGAGAAAAGGCAAAACATAGCAAAAATTGATAAAATTATTTTTGGAAGAGGCTCATCTATGCTTATAAAGTCAAGAGTCTATGAAATAATGTTAGTTTCCAGGCCAGTGCTCCAGAGTCCCTAGTAGCTATTATTAGACTGAATTGAGGGAAAATACTAGAAAATGTGGCATTTACCTTTGAAATTAATATTTAAGTCTGCTGTTATGTGAACAGTAAATAGGGCCCTAGAAGTCTATCAGGGTCATGATGCTTAGATTTTGGATGCTAATCAATAAACATATCCCCAAGTACCATCCCCAGAGATTTATAAAAACTTGCTGGTATCCATTTGCAGTCTGTCTAGGTTCTGAGACTCTAACAGGGCCCCAAATTAAATCATTACTCTACTATTGTTTGGAGGTAAGGGGTCCCACATAGCATCCTTTGAGAGACATCAGTTCTTTTAAAATAACATCTGATCAGGCCCATTCTGTAGTCCTTCCAGTGCAAACTTTTCACAGTGCCTTTTATTTTGACCTTCAACTCGATTATTTCCCCCAAATTAACCAAATGAAACAGCAAGGTACTCATTCTGTTGCTAGGACAGTTGGGGTTCTTTGGGTCCTGTGGCGTCCCTTTGGGGAAATTAATCAGGCTAAACCTCAATACCATCATTGGGAAAAGAAGGATTAAAAAGCATCTTTACCTTTTTTTAGAGGTTGAACCAAGCATTATCTGCAGGGACCGGCAGTTGCGGAGCACTCGCTACACAGCTTTTTTTTTTTTTTTCTTTTTTGCGTGGCCACGAACCACTGTGAATACACACGTTCTTACTTCTTGAAAGGTGGTTTATCTGGGTAAAGCAGAACTGCCAGTCCCTAGAGTCGGAAGGTACTTTGGAGTCCTTTAGGTATTGTGACTCTATGTTTCAGTGTCTGGAGGGAAGCCCCTCAATGCTTCGTAACATTCTGCTTTCTAGGATTCCAGGCATAGTCTTATTAGAAAAATAAAAGTTCCATTAGGAAAAGCTTGAAAGCGACCTACGGATCCCATCGCACACTACAAGTGAGAAGGGGGCAGGGACTCCTCTGAGCCCGCACAGCAGACAACAGTGGCAGAGCTAAGGTAGGTTTGCTCCCTCCAGAAGGAGACTTCAAAGTGGAAATGTGTGTTGCTACAGCTCTCACCCTTTGCAGACTGGGAGTGAGAAGAAGTTTACAGAACAGCAAACTGCACCACTGTCTCTCTTTGACCTTCGCGTCACTCGGAGCCCTCTGCACACGGGCAGTCTTCCTTTAGAGGTAAACTGTGTCCCAAATATCACACAGCGAATGGTCATTTGAACCGTGGGTGTATCACACGGAGTTTTAACTTAGGAATTGCAAGGCCAATTATGATAAAATTCAGACCAATGTAAATAAGAATTTACTTTTTAAAAATTTCATAAAAATATGGGATTTCTTTGGAGAGGAAAACAGACTTTCCAGGTAACCAAAATAAAACTTCTGTACTTCCTATCAGCTTAAGACCAAGAGCTTTTAGGAAACAGCTCCGTGGCTAAGCAGAACTCGGTCTTAATTCAGCGCACTGTCCTGCAAACCATCTGTTACCCGCTGACCCACTTTCTTTGGACAGAAGGGAACCGGACTCCATGGATACTGTTAACTGAAACCTTGCCTTGGTGAGGACCCCATCTCAGAACATGAATTCTTATCCCACAGTGCTGCAGATACAGCTCTGACAGGAGAGGAAGCCTGCAAGATGAAAACCAGTCGGAACACCAGTCCATCCCTGGTGTGGGCATAGGCTGCTCGACCCAGTTTCTGACCTGGAAGGAACCACCCGTTCCCCACCAAAGCTCTGAATATTCAAGCCTTAATTTTGGGATCACCAACTGCCATTCTATTTTGCCAAAGTCAATTAAGGGATTACAGGATTTCTTCATAGTTTTGAATTTGATTCCTGGAAATATTTGAATGATGTTAGAGACTATTCAAATCTCTATCTTTAAATATATTTTTACAATATTCATAAAATTATTCTTTGGTAATAAACATCATGTGTTTAGGGAGCAATTCATTCTAAAGCGATGTGAAATAAGATATAAAGAGAAAGACATGAGAAACAGTAATATTTACACATTTTTAATATGCTTTCTTGTTAATATTCAATATTTTTCCATGAATTGACTACTTAAAAACATTTTATGATCACATTCTAGATAGGTTTCATTTTTCTGCTCCTTACCCTCCATTGGCTTAAATTTTCATTTCCCCATGTTCCATAAGATTTAAGTTTTACATTTTATTTCTCTATTTTTGTTTCAAAATCAAACTTATTGTGAACAAATTAGTCTGTTGAAAAAAAAATAAAACAAAAACACCAAACCTTCAAAGCCAGGCTGCTCTGGGGAACTGGCAAGAGCCAAGAGCCTTTTTTTTTTAATAGTTGAATTATTCCCAAGTAAAATGGATCATCTCGGACTGGACATTCTTCTGGTAGCAAGCATTGACTGAGGAGAACATAGATTAATCTACGAAGCTCGCCAGAAACAGCTGCCAACTGAAATCTCATGGTTGAAGTAAGACTTAAAAAAATTTAATCTGATTCTAGAATTAAGGGAGCTGAAGATCCTTGTCAAATTTGAGTGACGACAAAATGAAATTCAGCAGCGAATGCTACACATCCCAACTCAGTTGCAGTTGTTTGACAGGACAGCCTCGAACAGGAACTGTTCTCTTGAAATAACTTGTGGCTTCCTGGAAGACTTAATCTTTAGACCTCACAGGACCATGCTCCGATCCCGTCCTGTGGGGCATACCCCCCATCCCAGTTCCAGAACCGTGGCATTCATTGAGCTTCAAGGCAACTGCCCAGTGCTTCCCATTCCCCAAGAATGGCAAAGATTCATAGTTTTATACAATGAATCTTAAAATCATTCAAAAAATATTCATAGGACGACAAGATTAATAGATCTTCATTTATAAAGCTTAATTCTTCCTTCCCCAAAGATGTAAATGATAAGTTTAAAACTCTCTTTTTGGATCAAAACAGGCAACTATTTTTTTTTCTCTAAGGTCCTTACTCTCAGTGTTTTGGTTCTTGTGAGTAAAGAAGGAACGGGGTACTCCTGGATGCTGGAAGAGACAAGCCCCTCTGCTCTGAGCAACTGTGCAAAAGTATTAACCAGTTCAGCTACAGAAAGTCTTGAAACTTTAAAAATTACGTTGGCTTCAATCTGATGGTTTAGCAATCTCCACATTTGCTAAACTGCAGAGAAGGGGGGCATGGGGGTCAGGTAAAATTCCAACATCCTTTGCACTCTTGGATAGAATTTAATATACTTAAACTTTAAATATGAATTGCTTTTCCCTTTTTACACAAGTTATAAAAATAAGAGGCCCTGTTTACACAGTTTGCATTTTTATGAAATTTGCGGTTTGAAAAAAAAGCTTTTTAAAAAGTGGTAATTAATGCTTCTCTTTGAATATGTTGTAACTTTAGATTTTTTTTTTCTTAAATAGTTTCTGAGTTTAATCCACTCCACTGAAGCTAGGGGTTTTCTTTAGCACTAGAGAAAACATAGTAAGGAGTGAAGGAAAGTAAGGTTTTTTTTCTGGTTCCATTTAAGGTTCTTGATGTGTGGCACCCCCTTTATGATAACTATCAACATTATATTTAAATTTTATATATTGACAAAATGCACTCTACCTCTGTAAGCATTGTGCCATTCGACAGTACTACTATTAAATTTACATACCACAATTTAAATTACATCCGTTTCAAGAATGGAAAAATACTAAAACGCAAGTGCCTAAGTGCCTGACTGGAATGAAGGTACAGTTTACAAATACAATAATTACAGTTTAAAACCATTAACAATATTACACCTAGAAGTAAATACTGTAGAACTGTGTGTGGGAAATCACTGCTGAAAGCCAGGACCTTCCAGTTGCTGGACCCCAGGTATAGATATCGGTTGGTTTTCATCAAACCAGATTAAAACCCGTCTCTCATACAATAGTTCTCCAGGACATGGCTCTTCCAAGTCCTTGCATGAGATTTTATTAGTTATCTGCCAAGTATTTTCCTGCAAAACAAAACCACAGATCAAAACATTATCCACAAGCTCAAGGGTGCGATGACCTTTTCCTCCCGCCCTACCCCTTGGAGCCAAACTCTGCATGTTTGGGGTTCTATACTCCTACAAAATGGTGAGGTTTTCAGGTTTTTTAGTTCCCCACACTAGTACTCACCATTTCCACCTCTGTGCACAGACAGTTTGTTGAGCATTCTGGATCCTGCCCAGGTGGGTCAGGGATCTGTCCCTGAATATGGGAACTTCTTCATATTTATTTCTTACTTAGTTTGTTGGAGAGTGAAAGGGATATAATTAATAATGGCATCAGAAGAGCCTGTGTAAAAACCAGGACTCGGAGGAAAAGGAAGCGGGAAGTGGTAACATGCTTGGTTCATATGTGTATGGCTCTGGCTTTACCCCAGCAAGCCACTGACAAGGGCAATCATCTCCATAAAAGCTCTGTTGTTTGTGCCACACTCAGTTTCTAGGCAACCAGTTTATATCTATAGACTACATCTTTTTTCATTTTTCTTCCTTTTTCTCTCTCTCTCTCTTCCTTCCTTCCTTCCTTTCTTCTTGTTCTTGTTCTTCTTCTTGTTGTTGTTGCTCTTCTTCTTCTTCTTCTTCTTCTTCTTCTTCTTCTTCTTCTTCTTCTTCTTCTTCTTC